TGAACGAGAACAGTGGTAAGTAGCGAAAGCGACGGAACAGGCAGCGGCGATAGGCAACAGTAGACAACTTTTCCGACTGGTATTTGGAACCCGAATGTGAGTGAGACTTTTTTGGAAAAGGATGGTCTTATTATCCATTCTCAATCCAGGAGGCTGGACCGATGGGCAGAACACTTTAAGGATCAGTTCAACTGGCCTTCAGCCACTCTTCGGCTACCCAAGATCTCCAGTCATCCTGAATGGCGAATCGATTTAAGTCCCCCTAGTCTTTATAAAGTTTAGAAATCTGAAGTGAGGTAGAGCAGCAGGTCCCGATAGGCTTACCCCTGAGATGTTTAAGGATGGTGGTCCAGCTTTATCAGCTAGGTTGACTGAGATCTTAGGTAGAATCTGGGAACTGGACGTAATCCCATCCGACTGGTCTCAATCACTGATTGTCCCAATTTATAAGAAAGGACAAAAGTCCTCTTGTGACAATCACAGGGGAATAAGTCTAACTAATATAGTTTCTAAATTGTTAGCCTCAATTATACATAGCCGTCTAACTAGAGTACGTGAAGAGCAGACTCGAGAAAACCAGTCTGGTTTTCGACCTGAACGTGGCTGTATAGACCACATCTTCACACTACGACAGGTCCTGTAACACAGACACACATTTAGACGTCCGACAATAGTCGTGTTCCTGGAACTAAAAGCGACATTCGTTTTTGTGGATGGTGAGGTTCTGTTGCAGTGTCTGTCATTGAAAGGTGTACCAAAGAAGTACATTAACCTTATACAAGCTCTCTACTCGAACACCACTGGTTGAGTGAGAGGATATGGCGAACTGTCATCTGAATTCTCTACTTCAAGTGGTGTCCGTCAGGGTTGTCCACTCTCTCCATTCTTGTTTAACTTTGTCGTTGGCATCCTCTTAGAGTTAACATTAATCTCGTCATATTTTTCAGGGGTTGATCTTCTACCAGGAAAGTGGCTTACTGATCTAGAATATGCCGATGACATAGTTCTATCCGGTGAAGACGCTGACAAAATGTAGAGTCTTCTGACTACCCCAAGCAACAATGCAAGCATGTTCGAGATGCGGTTCTCATCCTCGAAATGGAAAATGTTGCTTGAAGATTGGGCTGCATCGGTACCTGAACTAGTGATAGGGAGTGAAGTAGTCGAGCGTGTCAACCGCTTCACTTATCTGGGGAGTCTCATCAGTGCTGATGGCCTGGTGACTGACGAAATTTCAGCTCGGATAAAGAAGGCTCGATTGGCTTTTGCCAACCTGTGTCACTTATGGAGTGGGCGAGATATCCGTTTGCTGACTAAAGGACGAGTGTACTGCGCTGTAGTTCGATCCGTTCTCTTATATCGTTGTGAAACATGGCGGGTAAGAGTACAGGACATTCGTAGGTTATTAGTATTCGATTATAAATGTCTTCAAAGCATTGCCCGTATATCCTGGGACAGCCGAGTAAGCAATGCTGTCGTTAGGAAACGAGTACTAGGCAAGGATGGCAGATCAATAGATGAAGTGGTGAAACTTCATCAGTTGAGGTGGTTGGGACATGTGTTACGTATGCCTAACCACCGACTGCCTCGACGAGCTATGTTTTGTGGTGTAGGAGTAGGTTGGAAGAAAGTTAGGGGCGGTCAGACCAAAACATGGCACAAATCCATGAAGTCACTGACAAGTGGACTGAGTCATGTTGGTAGATATAGACTACCTGGTTGGGGTGCGCGAGACGAAAGTCATCAATGGTTAGAGACCTTGAACGACATGGCTCAAAATCGTTTGCAATGGCGCAGGTGCATCCACTCTTTGAGCTCTCTCAAATCATAATCTTCTGGATTTGTCGGCACCTCTACCTTTGTCTTTCTAACCTTATTTCACTGAATTATATTTCTTGATTAATATCTTCGGACCCCCCTATTAACATTAATACCTCTACTATCTTTATCACTATGGGATTCGATTTGACATTTGCGTCTCTGTGCTGTGGTATGGCAACATGAACTGATGTACTTACGTACGAAGTTCTACGTTGCAACTTACTGACTGACTGGGGTTAGTGATGACGTTTCAATTAGACAACAGATAAAGATGAACACATACAAGAACAAAACGATATTCACTTTAGCATTGGACAAGAAATAAGTGAGTATTTCAACTTACCAAAAATCCACTATTCGGGCAAGCGCATGGTCTTGCACCAACAACCGCTCTAACAAGCTTTGGTAGGGGCATATTTGTTACGGTCATCAGATAGGCCAAGGTTATAGTCACACTACGAGAAACACCACAAGCGCTTTAGAAGTAAGATGGGAACAGAAACAGCTTGTTGTTACACACAGTTATCGTAATTTTGATAAATAATATGGAAGATTTGAATTTATTTGTTATTTCATCACTATTGTTTTTACGTCTCAGTTTTCTGTTGGTGGTTGCCTCTTACTTGACAAACGTGAATCTCGATAACTTGAACTGATACATATTTATCTATTAAACCATAATGAAGTATATAACCCAACCTGTGAAGAGTGAAGAAATTATCTGAACGTAAGTCAGTTAGACAGGTTTGGTTTGGTAAATGTAGAAATGAAATTAGATTCGACTTATTTATCAAGTATTCAGATTTCAGCCACACTATCTAGCTGCGAAAACAGTAGTTGAGACCACATTTTGACTGGTTGGAAGCCTACTGTTAAAACCACTAAACCAAGATGTTGATAATCTATACATGGTTAGTTCTAAAAAATCAAAAGATAGAGTAAAATGACAAACTTTTTCTTAGTTAACTCCACGTCTGAACATACATGTTATCGCGTAATTATACCTAGAAACTGATCGGATTCATAAGAACTGTTTGAGGTCGACTTACAAAATAATCTAATGACGAGATAGAGTACCAACGTTACGGGTGTAAGGAGGGTTTGGCCATGACCAATTTGGTCTCGCGTGCTATTACGAGGAGGAGGGCAGATATCACTCCCAAGCTGCCCACACCGTGGAAGGGTATTGCTTGAGAAACCTGAAAAAGAAATCGGATTAGTGTTGGTCTTAGTGACCAGCGAGCGTGACCGCAGAGCCTCAAGGGACAACTGCTTGAGGCTGGTCACGCACGGCCTTTTTATGGGAGGTTTTTGAAGTGTCAGCTCCAACTTTTTTAAAACGCCTTACCGCCGGAGACGTTAATCCGCATAGTAAGGTGAGGTGTGACATTTTTACGGTCGATCTTTTATAACCCCTACCTTCTTTGTGGGAAAGAAGCATCGCCGCAGATGCTGGTTGTCCGAGGGAAACACCTTACTGCTGTCACACCCCTCTGCAGTCGGCAGTACGACTTCGCCCTCAGACCTTGGGTAGCCGCTTTTAGTCTCATCGTTCTCCAATCGACCTTTCTGGCATGGTAGAACCTACAGGAACATATGTTCCAGCCAATAAAGCTCGGTTGGGTCATGACGATAAGCAAGCCCGACCACCACCTCGAGGTAGCAGCTACGGTAGGGAGTTTTTTTCAAAAAGTATTATCTACCATATGAACTTTAGTTGATCATTGAAATTTTTCAAGACTTTTCAACGTAAAACTTATCACTACACTTTATGTAACTCAGAAAGTAACCTATCACTGAGGACATTCCAAATGATTCACATCACAGTATTATTAGATTAAAAAAGCGACGAAAATCGCTGAGATTCAGTGTTTATATATATGGTAGATTTGATTTCAAATAAGTTGCGCATTAAAGTGGAATAGTAATTATAAAATAATAATATAATCGTGATATTTCAATAAATATAAATTGGAATGATTGATATTTTTTGACTTCATAGAATCCACTTTTTCAGAATGAATGAACAATTTAATTTGCTTACTTACTCTGAAGAAGTGAATTATCATGTTTATAGATCAGGTAATGTTTTTTATATCCTCTCTAGACTACAGAGAGGAGTGAATCAGTTGAATGAGCTCACAGTTTTGTTAGCACGATTAAAAATAGCTTTTGTGAACGTGATGTTCTTAAAAACAAATTGGTGGTACTAGTTAACTGCATTAGTTTTACAACTCTTCTAGCACGCTTATCGAAATTCGGTCACATTTACTATCGTTTTGTCATAAGTCAGTTTAATATACATTCACATTTTTCGAAAGTAAAATATTTCGGAAAATTAGACTATTCACATAAATTGTGCCTGATGCAAACACACAATGACATAAAAGCGCACCTAAATATTTATGTGCAACGTAGATCAACGACTTTCTGTGTTGGTTGGGACATTGCCCGAACAACCAAACAGAAGCTTTGCAGTCCTCTTATAGCAGGTGACTAATAATGGGTTCAAACCTTATTTGTTCCCTCAGGATCCTGGAGCCAAAATGTGCACTTCTGTTTTGGAATCACGGTTTTCTAACTCCTACAGTTAGATCTTCCATACTAACCATTCAGGTTGAACATTCTGTTTACATCCTCTGAGTTTCATGAAAACCTCGCATGGCCGTATAATAGCAATTCGGGAGAGTGGATTTTCTTCTCTTACGGTCATGGCTTGTAAAAGCAGATAAAAAATCATTGAATATATTAAGGACACTATGATTTTTAAAAATATAGGAGAGGAAGTATGCGCGCCAGAGCAACGCCGTTTTGTTGTTTATAGAGTAGCTATGAAAATAAATAAATGTGAAATGCAAAGAAAAATAGGAATAAAAGGCCTAATAATTAACTGAAAGTTAGCCTATACAATAAGTTTGGTTTGAGTATTAAATGTGTACAAGACAAAAGTATTGGGTAACAGCAAGTGTACATATCTGAACAGTTTTAAAACAAATATAAGGGAACTGGGAACAAATTTAAAGTGGGGTTGAATAAGTAACCATTTTATAAACTGTTTAAAGTCGTTTTAATCACATATATTAGTGACATGAATGATTAATGGCAATTACTGGTATATTCTGGATTCGAATTACTGCAAATTTCTGAACAATTGCTTTATAGTTCCAGAATATTACACTTTACACTGATGATGATGACGACGCTGGATTACTATCCTCACTGTCAGCAAGTATTTTCCGCATATGTAGTGGTTTATCAGGATAAATTGTAAAACTCATTGGCTTATTAATTTTCTGTGTATTTCGTTGATCTGAAGAATCAATGTGAGACGTTAGTTGGTTGTTATTATCGTTAGATTCTGCAATATCATCCGGTAAGGTGAAACCACCACTTGCGCCAATACAAGTAGCATGTTCTGGTTTAAGTAAAAGTTCTGTTAGTACAGCAATATCAGCATCCAGTTTATGTTTCGGCCATTCACCAAAACAAGCGATAAGTTCACGTTGGACTTTTGCTGCAGCACCAGATTTACCATATTCTATTAGCTGTTCCTAGAAAAGATGTAAACTTTTTATCAAATCTTCATATTATTAAAACATAGTGAAAAATGTATCTAATTTTCGAAACAGTAGTACATTGATAAAAATAGTTTGAAATAACCTAATTTAAAGAAATTAATAAACTTTCTTCGTTTCGTCGGATAACGCACTGAAACTGATAGACTGTAAAACACCAACATCCACCTAAACGTGCGCAGACCATAGCTGTCAACTTCATGAGGCAGTTCTGTTTGCTTACCGTGATGAACCAACCGAAAGATATTTCCTAGAATATATCACCAGTAATGCACTTTTCATCTTCCAACTTTCATTAAAAGCCATCACACACCTCAAGGTCATAAGCAGAACTTCTTCGTAAACTCGTCCCACCTGGCTCTGAACATGATGAAGAGTGAGTCAGCTTAGGCGCAGGCTGATGAAAAGCCTACGCGATGAACGAGAACAGTGGTAAGTAGCGAAAGCGACGGAACAGGCAGCGGCGATAGGCAACAGTAGACAACTTTTCCGACTGGTATTTGGAACCCGAATGTGAGTGAGACTTTTTTGGAAAAGGATGGTCTTATTATCCATTCTCAATCCAGGAGGCTGGACCGATGGGCAGAACACTTTAAGGATCAGTTCAACTGGCCTTCAGCCACTCTTCGGCTACCCAAGATCTCCAGTCATCCTGAATGGCGAATCGATTTAAGTCCCCCTAGTCTTTATAAAGTTTAGAAATCTGAAGTGAGGTAGAGCAGCAGGTCCCGATAGGCTTACCCCTGAGATGTTTAAGGATGGTGGTCCAGCTTTATCAGCTAGGTTGACTGAGATCTTAGGTAGAATCTGGGAACTGGACGTAATCCCATCCGACTGGTCTCAATCACTGATTGTCCCAATTTATAAGAAAGGACAAAAGTCTTCTTGTGACAATCACAGGGGAATAAGTCTAACTAATATAGTTTCTAAATTGTTAGCCTCAATTATACATAGCCGTCTAACTAGAGTACGTGAAGAGCAGACTCGAGAAAACCAGTCTGGTTTTCGACCTGAACGTGGCTGTATAGACCACATCTTCACACTACGACAGGTCCTGTAACACAGACACACATTTAGACGTCCGACAATAGTCGTGTTCCTGGAACTAAAAGCGGCATTCGTTTTTTTGGATGGTGAGGTACTGTTGCAGTGTCTGTCATTGAAAGGTGTACCAAAGAAGTACATTAACCTTATACAAGCTCTCTACTCGAACACCACTGGTTGAGTGAGAGGATATGGCGAACTGTCATCTGAATTCTCTACATCATGTGGTGTCCGTCAGGGTTGTCCACTCTCTCCATTCTTGTTTAACTTTGTCGTTGGCATCCTCTTAGAGTTAACATTAATCTCGTCATATTTTTCAGGGGTTGATCTTCTACCAGGAAAGTGGCTTACTGATCTAGAATATGCCGATGACATAGTTCTATCCGGTGAAGACGCTGACAAAATGTAGGGTCTTCTGACTACCCCAAGCAACAATGCAAGCATGTTCGAGATGCGGTTCTCATCCTCGAAATGGAAAATGTTGCTTGAAGATTGGGCTGCATCGGTACCTGAACTAGTGATAGGGAGTGAAGTAGTCGAGCGTGTCAACCGCTTCACTTATCTGGGGAGTCTCATCAGTGCTGATGGCCTGGTGACTGACGAAATTTCAGCTCGGATAAAGAAGGCTCGATTGGCTTTTGCCAACCTGTGTCACTTATGGAGTGGGCGAGATATCCGTTTGCTGACTAAAGGACGAGTGTACTGCGCTGTAGTTCGATCCGTTCTCTTATATCGTTGTGAAACATGGCGGGTAAGAGTACAGGACATTCGTAGGTTATTAGTATTCGATTATAAATGTCTTCAAAGCATTGCCCGTACATCCTGGGACAGCCGAGTAAGCAATGCTGTCGTTAGGAAACGAGTACTAGGCAAGGATGGCAGATCAATAGATGAAGTGGTGAAACTTTATCAGTTGAGGTGGTTGGGACATGTGTTACGTATGCCTAACCACCGACTGCCTCGACGAGCTATGTTTTGTGGTGTAGGAGTAGGTTGGAAGAAAGTTAGGGGCGGTCAGACCAAAACATGGCAGAAATCCATGAAGTCACTGACAAGTGGACTGAGTCATGTTGGTAGATATAGACTACCTGGTTGGGGTGCGCGAGACGAAAGTCATCAATGGTTAGAGACCTTGAACGACATGGCTCAAAATCGTTTGCAATGGCGCAGGTGCATCCACTCTTTGAGCTCTCTCAAATCATAATCTTCTGGATTTGTCGGCACCTCTACCTTTGTCTTTCTAACCTTATTTCACTGAATTATATTTCTTGATTAATATCTTCGGACCCCCCTATTAACATTAATACCTCTACTATCTTTATCACTATGGGATTCGATTTGACATTTGCGTCTCTGTGCTGTGGTATGGCAACATGAACTGATGTACTTACGTACGAAGTTCTACGTTGCAACTTACTGACTGACTGGGGTTAGTGATGACGTTTCAATTAGACAACAGATAAAGATGAACACATACAAGAACAAAACGATATTCACTTTAGCATTGGACAAGAAATAAGTGAGTATTTCAACTTACCAAAAATCCACTATTCGGGCAAGCGCATGGTCTTGCACCAACAACCGCTCTAACAAGCTTTGGTAGGGGCATATTTGTTACGGTCATCAGATAGGCCAAGGTTATAGTCACACTACGAGAAACACCACAAGCGCTTTAGAAGTAAGATGGGAACAGAAACAGCTTGTTGTTACACACAGTTATCGTAATTTTGATAAATAATATGGAAGATTTGAATTTATTTGTTATTTCATCACTATTGTTTTTACGTCTCAGTTTTCTGTTGGTGGTTGCCTCTTACTTGACAAACGTGAATCTCGATAACTTGAACTGATACATATTTATCTATTAAACCATAATGAAGTATATAACCCAACCTGTGAAGAGTGAAGAAATTATCTGAACGTAAGTCAGTTAGACAGGTTTGGTTTGGTAAATGTAGAAATGAAATTAGATTCGACTTATTTATCAAGTATTCAGATTTCAGCCACACTATCTAGCTGCGAAAACAGTAGTTGAGACCACATTTTGACTGGTTGGAAGCCTACTGTTAAAACCACTAAACCAAGATGTTGATAATCTATACATGGTTAGTTCTAAAAAATCAAAAGATAGAGTAAAATGACAAACTTTTTCTTAGTTAACTCCACGTCTGAACATACATGTTATCGCGTAATTATACCTAGAAACTGATCGGATTCATAAGAACTGTTTGAGGTCGACTTACAAAATAATCTAATGACGAGATAGAGTACCAACGTTACGGGTGTAAGGAGGGTTTGGCCATGACCAATTTGGTCTCGCGTGCTATTACGAGGAGGAGGGCAGATATCACTCCCAAGCTGCCCACACCGTGGAAGGGTATTGCTTGAGAAACCTGAAAAAGAAATCGGATTAGTGTTGGTCTTAGTGACCAGCGAGCGTGACCGCAGAGCCTCAAGGGACAACTGCTTGAGGCTGGTCACGCACGGCCTTTTTATGGGAGGTTTTTGAAGTGTCAGCTCCAACTTTTTTAAAACGCCTTACCGCCGGAGACGTTAATCCGCATAGTAAGGTGAGGTGTGACATTTTTACGGTCGATCTTTTATAACCCCTACCTTCTTTGTGGGAAAGAAGCATCGCCGCAGATGCTGGTTGTCCGAGGGAAACACCTTACTGCTGTCACACCCCTCTGCAGTCGGCAGTACGACTTCGCCCTCAGACCTTGGGTAGCTGCTTTTAGTCTCATCGTTTTCCAATCGACCTTTCTGGCATGGTAGAACCTACAGGAACATATGTTCCAGCCAATAAAGCTCGGTTGGGTCATGACGATAAGCAAGCCCGACCACCACCTCGAGGTAGCAGCTACGGTAGGGAGTTTTTTTCAAAAAGTATTATCTACCATATGAACTTTAGTTGATCATTGAAATTTTTCAAGACTTTTCAACGTAAAACTTATCACTACACTTTATGTAACTCAGAAAGTAACCTATCACTGAGGACATTCCAAATGATTCACATCACAGTATTATTAGATTAAAAAAGCGACGAAAATCGCTGAGATTCAGTGTTTATATATATGGTAGATTTGATTTCAAATAAGTTGCGCATTAAAGTGGAATAGTAATTATAAAATAATAATATAATCGTGATATTTCAATAAATATAAATTGGAATAATTGATATTTTTTGACTTCATAGAATCCACTTTTTCAGAATGAATGAACAATTTAATTTGCTTACTTACTCTGAAGAAGTGAATTATCATGTTTATAGATCAGGTAATGTTTTTTATATCCTCTCTAGACTACAGAGAGGAGTGAATCAGTTGAATGAGCTCACAGTTTTGTTAGCACGATTAAAAATAGCTTTTGTGAACGTGATGTTCTTAAAAACAAATTGGTGGTACTAGTTAACTGCATTAGTTTTACAACTCTTCTAGCACGCTTATCGAAATTCGGTCACATTTACTATCGTTTTGTCATAAGTCAGTTTAATATACATTCACATTTTTCGAAAGTAAAATATTTCGGAAAATTAGACTATTCACATAAATTGTGCCTGATGCAAACACACAATGACATAAAAGCGCACCTAAATATTTATGTGCAACGTAGATCAACGACTTTCTGTGTTGGTTGGGACATTGCCCGAACAACCAAACAGAAGCTTTGCAGTCCTCTTATAGCAGGTGACTAATAATGGGTTCAAACCTTATTTGTTCCCTCAGGATCCTGGAGCCAAAATGTGCACTTCTGTTTTGGAATCACGGTTTTCTAACTCCTACAGTTAGATCTTCCATACTAACCATTCAGGTTGAACATTCTGTTTACATCCTCTGAGTTTCATGAAAACCTCGCATGGCCGTATAATAGCAATTCGGGAGAGTGGATTTTCTTCTCTTACGGTCATGGCTTGTAAAAGCAGATAAAAAATCATTGAATATATTAAGGACACTATGATTTTTAAAAATATAGGAGAGGAAGTATGCGCGCAAGAGCAAACGCCGTTTTGTTGTTTATAGAGTAGCTATGAAAATAAATAAATGTGAAATGCAAAGAAAAATAGGAATAAAAGGCCTAATAATTAACTGAAAGTTAGCCTATACAATAAGTTTGGTTTGAGTATTAAATGTGTACAAGACAAAAGTATTGGGTAACAGCAAGTGTACATATCTGAACAGTTTTAAAACAAATATAAGGGAACTGGGAACAAATTTAAAGTGGGGTTGAATAAGTAACCATTTTATAAACTGTTTAAAGTCGTTTTAATCACATATATTAGTGACATGAATGATTAATGGCAATTACTGGTATATTCTGGATTCGAATTACTGCAAATTTCTGAACAATTGCTTTATAGTTCCAGAATATTACACTTTACACTGATGATGATGACGACGCTGGATTACTATCCTCACTGTCAGCAAGTATTTTCCGCATATGTAGTGGTTTATCAGGATAAATTGTAAAACTCATTGGCTTATTAATTTTCTGTGTATTTCGTTGATCTGAAGAATCAATGTGAGACGTTAGTTGGTTGTTATTATCGTTAGATTCTGCAATATCATCCGGTAAGGTGAAACCACCACTTGCGCCAATACAAGTAGCATGTTCTGGTTTAAGTAAAAGTTCTGTTAGTACAGCAATATCAGCATCCAGTTTATGTTTCGGCCATTCACCAAAACAAGCGATAAGTTCACGTTGGACTTTTGCTGCAGCACCAGATTTACCATATTCTATTAGCTGTTCCTAGAAAAGATGTAAACTTTTTATCAAATCTTCATATTATTAAAACATAGTGAAAAATGTATCTAATTTTCGAAACAGTAGTACATTGATAAAAATAGTTTGAAATAACCCAATTTAAAGAA